AAAGGTCGGATACTTTTCTCACAGGCCTCATATACTAAATGTATCTTGGATAGTATGCAGGGAGGAGTGGGGTGTTTTGATCATTACAGCCTAATGATGGTACTTTTAGAAGTGGAAACAAGTTGCAAGGCTATCGTCAAGATGTAATGTCATCAGATGTAGCATGACCAGACATATGTGGTGATAGGGACTGTAATGATGTTGTGAGACTCCAAAATCATACCTAATATATAATGTACTCAACCTTTGAAACATACTAAATTTTATGTTCAGTACCATACAAAGAAAATATTTTAGTGTGAACCATTCAATATTTAATTTGGATATAAATAGTATATGTCTTGAAGTTTGATGCTGAAGTCCTGCAAGCTTAAGTCTTTAAAGTGTTGGAAAAAAAAAGTGAAGTTTTCTTTGAATGCTGTGAAGCTCACCAAAAATTATCAATTTTTTTCTCCATTGATGTTCTACTTTAGAAATATTAAACCACCTTGCAGGTAACTAGGAAAATTCTTTAAGGGCTTTTAGTAAAAAAAAAAAGGAAAAAAGTTTATACTTTAATTTTATTCCATTCCGAAATTATGTCTACTTTTGTAAAAGCATATGTTCTGTTATATAGCAAGTATCCATCCTGTAGTGAAGCTACAGTACATGTGACCAAAATAAATCTTACTTAAGATGACCTTTATTAGTCCTGGTGAACATCAGAAAAATTTAGAACTAATTGTTCCTTGAAAATATAAGTAACTTGAATTAAAGTCGGATGCAGCATTTTAGTTTAAGTTTTTGTACTAACTTTCATGTTAATGGGTCCCTTGGTAGCTCAACTGCAAGTATGAGGGCTTATAATGCTAAAAATTTGGTTTTGATGTCCACATTGGGCAGAGCTCAAATAGCCTATTATGTACCTTTTTGATTAAAAACAAACATTTTGATGAATTAATTTGAAAAAGTTGATATTCAGGAATGTTTATTAGTATGTACATCTATTCTATTGCCTAGTTACCTACCAGCTATATAATAGATTTTGTAATTGCTTTCTTTAGAACTCCAACAATGGCTGGAGGACTGTTTTCTATAGATAGAGACTATTTTGAATACTTAGGAAAGTATGACGAAGGAATGTATATCTGGGGAGGTGAAAATCTGGAACTTTCATTTCGGGTATGTTTGAATTAGATTCTTAACTAAAAAAATACCATGTTTATATTATACGGTTGCAGTATTAAAACTGTCAGTGATTTTACTGGAGACCATGTACTTACTTTGAAATAAAATATGTGTCCTTTATATGTATTTGTACATTGTAATTCCCTTCTAAATAACTCTACCTCAAAACCCAGAAGTTCTGACCATATAATTCAGCTCCATACATATGCATATTCTCTATTATTGAAGACAAGTCAGTGGTTTAAAAAAAAAAGTTTTTGTAATTATGAACTGTACTGTAATATGTAATGTTTTGCACCATGTTTTCTACTGAATTTTTTTTGGAATGAAAAATGGGTCGTACTTACCAAGAAATAGATATTGATAAGAAAAACTCTTGTAACAACTCGCGTTGTAAGTTACATCATAAATCTGTCCAAGATTCACTATTTCCAGGTATTAAAGACAGGTTATTTATCTCAAATAATCAAAATTTTCACTAAGCCTACCATCTCTATCATTCTCTGAATAGTTTATATGAACTCATAGACATGAACACTATACTTCAGCAATATCTGAAGGCTAAAACATAAACACACCATTTACATTGAGTTTTTACTAACACTACCTTTCCCTCTGAATGTCAGCTAACTCTTAAATTCTGAATCACTAAGACAGCAACTTTTTTAACACAGACTTGCATTATCAGCTTTTAATTTCTGTAACATTCTCATTGAAATTAGCATGGTCTTTGCATTATACAAAAATCATAGGTTAACTTGAATTTTTGTAGCTTATAAACTAACCCTTTTTCCTGCCTTGGAAGTTGTATATATGTATGTGCCACACATTATGAGGTTTTCATATTAGGTCATCAAGAAATTAATGTCATGTTTTGGAACATTTTCATTAACCACCCCCCAAAAAACGTGCATCACATATAATAGTTAAACAAACTGTCTAAACATCACGTCAGTGTAGCCTATATAATGTGTAAAGTTTAGTATACTCTAATCCCTTATAGTGATGGCACACGATGAGACACTCATTTG